CTGTCATAGTGGAGAAAGGTTTGCTGCATTTTTATTGGATCTTGGTGAACTAACAAACAAATGTCAATCAGATAAGGCTGCTAGGACAACTGCCAGATGCCCTTTAGAGGGCAAGAAGAGAAGACCCCTAGTAACAGCGCTGGAAAGGTCAGGACTTTTCATTGGTCTTCTAAGGAACTAACTGTCCTTCACCCATTATGAAACTCATTCCTAAGGTTTAGGTTGGGACTGCCATAAAAATTACTTGGGAACTCTGGATGCACCACTCATGGGATCCAGTGACAAAACAAAGAGGGGCCACAAAGATCTATCCAAATCCATTCATATGTTTGTAAATTTAAAAATCAATAGAAACTGCAACACATACACCTCATACTTGATCAGTGAAAGTATTCCCATTGACAGCTATGTGAAGTTTAACAGTCTACACTTTTTCTATCATGATTATTTATACCTGCTTTCAGAGGTATTCTGGTGGTTGTTTGGGAATTGAACAATGCACAGGTGAAACCTTGAAGACACTGTTCTAATGGCATGCTTTAGATTACAGGTTTTTTTCAACTGCTTACTGTGCTTTCACACCACCGCCGTCGAGAGCATCAAAAATCGCTCTGGCCGCCCTGCCAACAACGCTGTAGAAAGATTCATGGACGCACTGATGTAGATCGAATGCTTATCTTGTATTTAAAGGGGTCGCAAAGCAAACACGCTTGTTGATCTTGTGCAGACTGACCACAAGCAGGGCAACGTTAGAAGTTAACCTCATTAAATATTGTTGTGGACGAAGTATTAAGATACTTTACCTCATAATGTATAAAGCACTAATACCACACTGTAAAAATACTCTGATACAAGTAAAAGTCCTGCATTGAAAATGTTACTCAAGTAAGTATAATCAGGTATAAACATTACTTCATGTAAGTATAATCAGGAAAATTGATTTAAAGGTTTAAAAGTCAACTGGAACTATTATACTATTATTTATTATATCATTAGATTATTATTCCTATAACGTCAATGCACATCAGCAACTCACCAGGAACACCAACATCTCAGACACCTTGGTCCACGCATCATTTTTTATTTATTTATGTCCCTGTACGCATACAGGGACACGTCGTAGATTATTGGGAAACCCGCCACAGCAATAATCAACCTCTCCTCCATTTTTCTTGGAAACTAATGTGGTCGAAACCAAAGTTTACAGGACTGCATTCTCTGGAATCCTCTCAAGCATTGGACTTCTATGTTCCGATTGGTTGCCACCAGATGCCGCCGAACCGCGTCATAGCTCATTACCATAAAGTTGACCTGATTTCAACTCTCCTCGACCACCCTCGCACGTCCAAGTTGCGCCGCGCAGCTGCTCGCTGCTGCTCGATGCCAGCTCACATTGAAAATGAATGACTTCCAGCCACTTTGACGTTCTCGACGGCAGCGGTGTGAACGCACGGTTACACACAAAATCTTTACTTGTCACACAATTTCTGAAATCTGACACTCAAACACCAGAACCACACACCAAATCTGCAAAACCATACACTAATTATCGGCCTTTGACTGAGTTTTCAATTTCATAAAACACTTTTTGCAAAGCACAAAACACACAATTCTCTATGTAGCACACAAATATCTAACAGAAATTAATATCATGGCAAAGGTGTTTGCAAACGTTTGCTTTTGAGATATGTTTGAGATATTTTGAATGCAGTGCTTCATTTTGCAAGAGATGTGAGGCATTTTGCATTTTGTGTGTGCAATTCTTGGATTTGTGTGTAAGGTTTTGGGGACAAAAAAGAGGCAAAAATGTGTGTCAGCAGTTGAAAAAAACTGTGGTATACAAACAAGTTTCACATGGGGAAAGAAGGGTGGGCCAAACTGTGGCAACACCTCTGATGCCAACAGCTAATCACAACACTGAAATAGAAAACCCCTGCCTAAAATCTCCTCCTCATCAGAAAAGGATAAATGTACCCTTTCGAAAGACTCAGGTCTGTAAGGGGAGAGACATTACAACTACGTTCTGTGTTGATCAAGTGTGCGTTTCTGGCCCAGAGAGGCAGAAGACATACTGTAGACACATTTGCAACCAGTTTAAGCTCCGGCGAGCAAACCTTCAGGTCTACTTTCATATGCGTGTTCCAGATTGCTTTATTCCAGTGCTTCATTTGCAAGGCTGCTGGAACAGATTCTGGCTTGTTTCCCACTGCCCTGTTAGTCAGAACAACCAGTGGCAGATGTCAACCGTGGAATAATGGTTTCCAACATCAACCTTAGCTTATGGGGAATAATTTTATAGATGTCTAAATATGCGATATTTAATCAGTAATAAATAGAATCAGTAATAAATAGGATCATGAAACATATAGTGTTAGAGAAGCTTCTCAAGATAGTCAAAGTATGTACAGTACTCATGTACATAATTATAATGGTATACTTAAAAAAAATGGTAACCTAAATTGGTAACATCCAAATTAACTGGTTTTATTCAAGTCAAAAAATATTATTTCGCATCTCTTAACCAACCTAAATATACTTATTCAGACTTACAGAAATGTTTTATGAGTGAATTTTTTTTTTTTTACTGTGTATAGTGAAATTTTGCATCATCATTTACTAATTTACACATTCTCATTTCCCCGTACATCGTTACAAACCTGTATGAGTTTCTTTCTGCTTAGAAATAATAATAATAGCAATTATTATTACAATGATAATAATAAATAATTTGACAAACTGTTTTGTTCATACAGTTAAACACAGAAGTGTCTCATTGTATGAATTACATCATTGTGTGAATAATAATAATAATAATAATAATAATAATAATAATAATAAGCAGATTCATTTTATTAATATCTTGATTTGTATTCCAAAAATAAAAAAATCATTACAGGTTTGAAATGACATGCGGTTGTAATTTTGGGGTGAACTATTCCTTTAAATATATGTGTTAATATGCTTTCTTGCTCTTCAAAAAATAAATAAATAAATAATAAAACAAATAAAAAAACTTTTTGACTATGGACGTCATATCTCGCGATCAGCATTCAGAAGGCATGCCGTCTCCTGACGGCTGATATCTCAGGGCCAGGTCATGGAATTGCTGACAGGCAGCAGATGTTGTGCTTGGAGGCCAACTTTTCTAGTCATGGACTCATATTGTAAAGACAATGAGTTTCATTGGATTCCTGTTGCAGCAGACAACACCTGGCAGGTACAAAATAATCAAGTGCCAGAAAAGCAGAAAAGAGAACAGATATTGTACAAATGTGCTACCGTTTACTATGTTGGGTTACACATGATGAATGCTACAATCAAACCTGAATATCAATACACCACAGTAATAACTTAAAGAAAATTAGACTGGCTCTTGCCACAAAGCTAGAGTATTGTGAGTGGTTGTCAGGGTATTGCTTTGCAGTTGCTAGGGTGGTTTGAGTAGGTGTTATGTTGCTAGTGTGTTCTAGGTAGTTGCTAGGTGGTTGCTAACTGGCTCAAGTTTCATGGTTTTCTGGTTTCTGGAAATGACTTTGGTTTTTCTTTCTTTTTTTTAATCCTCAAGGTATCATTCATATCCATAACACAAACGTTGCAGGATGAGTCATGAGTGGTAATAGTGATGTTTGCTTTAGTAAACACTACTGGCAATCATCATCAACATCAGGCAGCCAGGCTGCTCTTTATTCAACCCTGAAACTCTTGCCTTTTTCTGATCTTTCTTGGTAATATGTTATATTTCTGTGTAATGTTTCTTTATTCAAGACAGAATTAAGTTCCAAATCCTAACTGTACAAATAAGAACGACCGAAGGCCAGATTTCCTCTAGTCTAAGACATCACATGTATTCCCCATGTGACTAAAACACAGATACATGCATGCACATCCACATTTTCCTCTTCAGATTGCAACATCACAATAAATTCCAGGAGGCATGCATGCATTGCTTAGGTTTATCTGAACATTTATCTGCAGCTATTTCAATCAAACCATGGAATAAACTGAAAAGCACAGCTGATTATATTTCTGTGAGCAGGCAGTACTGTTCTAGGGACTGAAAATGATTTAGCATGGCAGAAGCCATTTACCAAAAGATTAATGAAAATACAGCAAGTCTCAGGCGTTATTTCTTAAAAACCTCACCCAAACCATCTAATTTCATTATTGCCAACATATTATAACAGTAGGTCATCATAATAGGACATCAGCTCTTGCTATAGTAACACAGCCTTATTAAAAATAATAATAATAAAGGTTGCTTATGTATTTTCTATCAGAAATCCTTGAATTAAGAACCCCAACAACCTGTTTGCACACAAAGCACAAGGCTGTCTCCTGCTATCGACAGAATGTCTCATCTTATTCTTTCTGCAGGTTATGTTGGTGCTTGCCTTTGTACTGTGCATTTCAAGAAATCTCCTTGGTAACACTTACTTGAAGCCTGTATGTGGGCATTATAATGATATCATAATCTTATAATATAAATTGTAATCCTTTAGATGGTTACATGTTTATAAATAAATTTTAATTTTAAAACACTTAATTTTTTAACTACATTATTAATAAATAAGTGGTATAATTATTTACAATAATTTTACATAGCTTATAAGGTGCATTGTAAAGTATTATCAATGAATTAAGAAGGCTTTAAAATCCATTAAAGTATATACAATTTGCAAGTAAAGTGTTACCCTCTTCATTGCCTTGGTTATTCAAAATACGTTTGATAAACTATCAAAACTTTGAAACACCCGATCAATCCGTAAAGAAAAGTCCTACACCTCAATATCAAAATAATTATGCTGCTGTATGCCTATTTACAAGTATTTTTAATATTATTATTTATTTACAATTACACCGGTTTAATTGGATGGGTGTCTTGCACGCTTACACTACCGCGTCATATTTTTCACTATATATTGCACATCTTGCCTATGACATTGCATTATAATGTGCACGCATATGAATGCATATCTGGCGAATGCAGGTAGCCTACTTACACAAAAACTCCGAAGAGCAGCACTCTTATGGCAATCTCCAGCGCCAGATCACGCACGTATTTCCTTCGGTCTGAGGGAGACATCTTCATGTTGTTCACACAATCGAATTTTGACTGAAGGAAACCAAAAGCAGAAACCAGAGAAGTCGGTGGTAGTCCACTATTGTCCTAAATACGCAACACTTTGGCGTCTGGTAGCTACAGCTGTCTGTCGCTTTGTGTTCATTTGGAAAATTCCCCTTGTTGCACTACAGTTGTAGTATACAGTACAGTACGCGAGTTCTGTTCCTTTTGAAGGTGCAGAAGAAGAATGTAGTGCGATGAGTGAACGCGGACGCGTCTGTGAGCTGGACCGAACCAGACAACAGCATCTAAGCCAGGTGATGCTCACTGATGAAAGTGTCTGAGATGAAGTGCGCTCTCTTTATCTCGCGCTCTCTCTCTCTCTTACCCCCCCACCCCCCTCTCCTCCTTAAGATTTACACTATCATGGCTATGCGGCCAGATAATGAGTTTTCCGTTTCACTCCTTTGGATCTCCAAATATTTTGCATTTGAGTCTCTGGACTGTTAGTGTACCATAGTAGGATCTGTGGCAATACCATTCTGTAGTAACGATTTCAGATGGCAATAGCTTGCAGCTAAAGTAGCCTATTACCATATCTGTGATTATAAATGTTCTGAAATTAATTTTCAGTGCTCCGTATTTATCCTTTCAAACTAATGCATAATGTTGCACAGTATCTAGGACTAATGTATACATTGAATCAAATTATGCATTAAAATATGCATTCATACTCACACACAAAATAAAAAGCAGAACTCTCATTGTTCATCAGAGAAAAATCATGTCCTGATTAGACTGGTTAGAAACATACATATTACAATACCATTTAGGCTACCAACATGTGCAAAAAATAAATAAATAAATAGTAGTAACAGTAGTAAGTAGTGTAAGTAGTAATAACAGTAAATTATACTGTACAAAAGCAATTAGCCATAAACCCTATAGAAAGTAATAAATATTAATGAGTTTTACTTAGGGCTCTTCACTACCCTACTTATCCTCATAGCCAAAATCAAACGTACTCAGTTACTAACATAACCTTGGTTCCCTGAGATACGGGAACGAATACTGCATCTTGCTTAAGAAGCTATGGGGAAAACTCCCTTTTCTCCGATGACTGAAGCCTTTTCAATAATGCAGTGTAACTGCACGGCCATTGGTTCGTGCAGTGAATTAAAAACGAACCAATGGCAACGAAGCCCGCCAGAATGTAAGTGTGCATTTCGCCATCGGATCTTCAGGTTACTTAGACTAAAAGCGACATAGCACGTCCAGCAACGCAGTACTCATTCCCGTATCCCAGGGAACCTTAGTAACCGAGTACATTCCCTATCGATACTTCACTCGTACTGCGTCTTGCTTAAGACACTATGGGGAACCAGTACAATCCCACCGTGCTATGCTAGACGGACGACAATACTTGAACTTGCCTTAAGCACCAGAAAGGGGCCCAAAGGGACCATGTATTTTGCAGGAAAACCCCGCAGGAGGCAATAGGGCTAGGGTGACCATACAGGCCATTTTTACGGGACGCACCCTTGCCGGGGTATCTATATTGCCTAAAATATCCAGGTTTTGGCTGTTTGCACTGTGCAGATCGATCATTGTATGGCATTATTTCACGAGAGCTATAGAGAGCAGAGCAGACGGCTCCTTATGCTTTTAAATCGCTCTCGCAGTACTTTGGTGTCATACAATGATCGGTGTGCAGCAGTCGAACAGTCGAACGAACGAACACTTGCGCATATTTGCATTGCTTTGATCATTCTCACGCCACGATTGGTCGATTATGTACAATACCTGCATGTTAATGGTCAAACTACTTTGGATGTTTTAGGCAATATAAAAATCCTGTCCAGGACATGTCCCGTATAAATGGCACATATGGCCACCCTAAATAGGGCCAAACTCCTAGAGGTCGACCCGGCCTTGAGTAATCGCCCCAAGATAATTTATGTACAGCCTCGGAACTCAGTGAGGGCCAAGAGTGTACAGGAAGAAAGCAAATGCTAGAAAACACTGGTTTGTCATATGACAAGAGTGAGCCCATTATGCAGAAAGGACCCGGGCCTGTAAGGCCGGGACGTCCAGATTATAAAACCTGGTAAATGTGGACAGCGAGGCCCAGCCGGCCGCCACACAAATCTCTGTAATAGACACACCACTAGACCAAGCCCAGGAAGAGGTGACACCTCTAGTTGAGTGGGCTCTTACTCCCATGGGACATTGTAGGCCCAAAGAAGAGTGCGCTAGCACAGTAGCGTCAATTATCCATTTGGAAAGTCTCTGCTTCGTGACCGGAGACCCCTTGGTCAGCGAAGCATACAAAGAGCTGTTCCGCTCAATATAAAATTTCAACGCCCTGACAGGGCAGAGTAAATTCAACTCTTGGTCTTGCTCTGAAGGAAGAACCGCCAATAGAGTTATTACCTGTGCTCTGAGTAGAAAGCACTTTAGGTATGTAACCATGCCTTGGCTTCAGGACGACCTTGGAGTCACCGAGCCCGAATTCGAGGCAGGTGGGGCTCACAGAGAGCGCCTGCAGATCTCCCATACGCTTTACCGATGCTAACGCCAGCAGACGAGCGGTTTTTAGTGTCAGGGAATGAAGGTCAACGGACTGTAGCGGCTCAAAGGCAACACCGTGGGCAGATCCCATGTAAGGACGGTGATGGGGCGAGGCGGGTTGAGCCTCCTAGACCCCTTCAAAAAGCAAACAACTAGGTTGTTCTTGCCCACCGATTGGCCAGCTATTGGAGTGTGAGGGGATGCTATGGCTGCTTGACCATGGAAGGGGAACGGCCCTTATCCAACAGCTCTTGCAGGAATGATAATATCAGAGATATGTCGCAGGAAATTGGGTCTGCGCTGCGGGCTGTACACCAGGCGGAGAAGACAGACCATTTAAGGGCATAAAGTCATCTCGTAGACGGTGCCCTAGCCTGAGATTGTATTTAGCACGCTCTTGGAGAGGTCTGCAGGCTCACATAGAGAGGCCAAAGATGCAGAACCCACAGCTCTGGCTGGGGGTGCCATATTGTTCTGTTCGCCTGAGAGAGGAGGTCCTGTCTCAGGGGGATGGGCCACGGGGCTGCAGAAAGCAGCCAAGACAGCTCTGTGAACCAGTGTTGGTTCCTCCAGAGTAGAGCCACTAACAGAACCCTGTGCTTCCGTTCCCTCATTCGTCTTATTATCTGTGGGATCAGGGCGATCGGGGGAAAAGTGAAAAGGGTGAGGTTGGGCCAGTCGTAGGCCAACGCAACCTTGTCCTTCGAAAAATAATTTGGGCAATGAGAGTTGTCTTCTGAGGCAAAGAGGTCGATCTCTGTCTTACCGAAGATCTCCCAGATTCTGTGAACCGTTTGTGGGTGGAGCATCTACTCGTCTGATGGGACATTGCTCAGAGATAGCATGTCTGCTCCCTGGTTCAGCCTGCCCGGCACATGTATTGCTCTCAGTGAAAGCAAGTTGAGCTGAGTCCATTCCAAGAGGCGCTCCACCAGAATGGCACTTCGAGGAGAGACCGCCCTGGTGATTTATATAGGACACCACCATCATGCTGTCCGAACGGACTAAGACGTGTTGTCCCCTCAGGTCTGGCAGAAAGGTGTGAAGGCCCAGACATACTTCCAGCATTTCCAGGCAGTTGATGAGAAGCCGACCCTCCTCATTCGACCAGTGGCCGAAAGCCGGTTTGCCGTTGCACAGCGCTCCCCAACCTGTGTTGGAAGCATCTGTCAAGACCACCTTCCTTCTGCAGACCATTCCCAAGGGCACGCCCCATTCCATCCACTGAGGGTCTTTCCAAGGGGCTAGAGCTGCCACACAGGCCTGGCCCACCGTGACATGAAGGCATCCGAGATGCCAGGCGTGGGGCAGAACACACGGTTTCAGCCAGTATTGAAGGGGCCGCATGTGAAGCAGGCCCAACTGAAGTACTGGAGACGCGGAGGCCATGAGGCCCAGCATCTTTTGAAACACCTTGAGAGGGCGAGAGACTCCAACTTTGAATGAGGCCGCGAGCTGCTGAATGGCCAGTGCGAGCTGCTGAATGACCAGTGCACAATGTAATCATCCTGACTGGCCATTTCATGAGGATGCGGATCAGACGTCTGAGATTGAGGATGGGTCTTAGGCCGCCATTCTTTTTGGGGACGAGGAAGTATCGGCTGACTCGCTCTGAGCCGGGGGAACCGTTTCTACGGCTCCTTTCATCAGCAAATTCATCACCTCGGCGAGAAGAATGTGTGCGTCTTTGCTCTGAACTGAGGGGGAAACCACGCTGCTGAAACGCGGAGGTCTTCGAGCTAATTGAAGTGTATAACCTCATTATTATTATTCCCGAGTGACAGGCCTCCTTGCGGGGACCCGATGATCATGATAAGAGGAAGAGGAAATTTGCTCTCTTTTTGAAAATGTTTGTGTTTTATTTTTCTCGCTATAACAGCGATCGGTTATGTGAGCGGTATTTGAACGAGCCCAGAGTTCACAACGTTGTTTACCACAAACACATTGCCATCGGAACCCGGAACTGAACGGGGCACTTGGAGGCACGTAGCCAGACTTGGCCCCTTCCTCTTTCTGTCCCACAGATAAGGAAGACACCTGAGGCGCCAGGTCCAGCACTATCTTGGGCGCTTAGGGAATGGCTAACGTCTGGCTGAGCGAGAGCGATGACGGGGCTCAGGCTTAGAAGCTGATTGAGCAGCTGGAGGTACGGGCTTCGCAAGCTGCTGAGTCGGTGCCGTCTTGGGGCAACTGGAAGCAGTTGCAGAACTGATGCGCTTTGGCAAGAAGTGTCGCATTGCCTGGGACGACTTCTGCGCAGCGGTGAAGCGTTCAGCGAAACCCTCAACCGCAGGTCCAAACAGGCTCTGGGGAGACCAGGGAGTCGAGGAAGAGGATCTTATCCGCATCCTTGATCTCCATAAGGGTCAACCATAGGTGGCACTCGAGCACCACTAGACTGACCATGGACTTGCCAATCGCCTGAGCCGTCATCTTGGCACATAAAGCCAGGTCGGTCGTGCTGCGCAGCTCTCTAAAAGCTGCAGGGTCTGGGCCGGACTCATCCATGCAGCGGAGGAATTTGGCCTGAAAGACCTGGAGGACTGCCATGGAGTGAAGCACCGAGGCAGCTTGTCCAGCTGACGAATAGGCTCATCCAGCTTTCTAATAAAAGCCCTACACGGCTTGGGCGGGTGGGCAGCCTTTGCCTTCCAACCGATGGCCGTGGACGGGCAAAGATGCGTGGCCACTGACTCATCCAGGGGAGGCAGTCTCTCGTACCCTTTTTCTTCGGCGCCGTCGATCGATGCGAGGGCGGACAAAGAAAAGGCATGTA